CAGAACGTTATCGTCCAGGACGCTGACGACGTCAGCATCCTGCTATGCTCGTCATGATAACCCTATCCATGGACCGCGAACACCAAACAGATTAACTGGGAGGGTACGACGATAATCACCATTGCGGCATATAAATACACGGGATGGAATTCGGTTACTGGACTGTCGGCGCTCGCTCCCGCTCGCTCCCGGCGGCCGGCCGATCTTGCTCGCCGCCAGACGAATCCACCTCTCCTCCTCGCCGCAGCCGGCCGGCAGGCGGCGGGGCCGCGTTCCAACGCGGGCCGAAGCGAGAGGTGGAGAGAGGTGGGCCGGGGCGCGCGGCGGGCGCTGCGGGGCGCGGAGGCGTGCGGCGCGGTGCGTTGCGCGGCGCTTCTCAGAAGTGGAGAGTGAATCACGCGCGAAAAAGCGGAGCGAAGCAAACGGCCGTGGATCCTGCCGCCGCGCCGAGTGGCCCAACGGCCGCCGGCCGGCCGGTCGCAGGACGAGGACGAGGACGTTGGAGTTCGAGGGCGGCGGGAGTCGGGAGCAGTCCAGTGGCCTCCGGCTCCTTGTGAACGTATTGCTTTAAGTGCCAGCGGCAGTTCTTAAAGCCCTTGTTGAAGTTGAAGAAGGACGCCGAGAGCCTACCGCCGTTGCACTGCGCTGGCGCTGGGGTAGTCACCGACTCCTGCCCCGACGTCGAGATCCAGGCACGTCGGAGACCTCCAGACGCCGGCTGCGGTGCCCGTGCGGGAGGCAGCCGGAGGCCGCGGTGTCATCGCGGTCCTAATCACCGGCGGCTGTGTTCTTTTTTCGGCGGCGGCTCGTTACACTCGCACCGCCCTGGGCCGGGCCGAGCCGGGCTGACTCACGGTGGACAGCTCCACGGCGGCCTCAGCTTCCCGGGGCCTCCGCCAGGCGGCGCGCCGGCAGAGTTTCATTCATAAAACGAGACGGTTGTAACCTTGGCGGTCGGCCCGGCCCGGCCCCCGACTTCGCGGATCGGCCCGGCCGCGAGGGCCTTACTCACTGTGCGGAGGCTCGCCGCGTCCATCTCCATTCACGGCTGATCCCTGCGGCATACCCGGGGATACCAAACATCCCATTCATTCGCACTGGAGGCACAACCTCTTCACCGCAAAGCACCATCCAGGTGCAGAAGGAAAATCAATGCGCGGGAAACGACGGTTGGTTCGAGCGTCGGCCCTCGCAGCGCAGGACATGCCGTTTGAAATAAGACGGATGTTTTTCTGCCGCCAGGCCGTCTACTCCGGCTGTAGGGCCCCCAGTCTGAGGGCCCGCCCGTCATCGCCGCGACTCGAAAGTGGTCCAGCCCGGCCCAGGTGGACGCCGCGGCCGTGACGTCGCCCTCCTGAGTCACCCGTGACGTCACGGCGGGCTGCGCTCGCGGCTCCATTCACAACCGCGGCCAGGCCAGCGCACTGCAGCGGCGGGGCGGGGCGGGGCGGGGCCGCGGAGAGAGGCCTGACGTCAGGGAAGGAAGTCGCGGTCACGCCCGCGCGTTGTGCGTCCCTCTCCCGCCGGTTCCGAGAAGAGCCGAGGGGTATGAACTCTCGCAGGAACATCGTGTACGCTCGCTGCGGCTGCTCAGCTGCTGCTAACGCTTCATCGACGGGATCCTCGCCGCCCGTTCAGGCGGATGTGTGGTCGCGCCCGCGCAGCTGTGTGACGGCGGCGTCCGGCGACCAGGCCTATAGCAACTGCCTTGCATAACCAAACCCGCACCGAAATCGCTGCTGTGCTAACCCGCGCTGTGAGTGTGTGAGTGTATGTGGAGCTGCCTTCATCT